CTACTACTACTACTACTACTACTACTACTACTACTACTACTACTACTACTACTACTACTACTACTACTACTACTACTACTACTACTATCTACAGGAGGGGGGCTTCAGAACAGAACTTGTCTGCTGTGTTTGTCCTCAAGTTCTGTTGCTAGGAGTTGTTGTTGAGAATATATGTTGTCATCATATCCTCAATGCTATTGCATTATTATGTAGTTTTGTATAAAGTATTGCAACAACGAGGAGTACATAGGCTCAGTACTGAGAGCAGTCATGTAGTAGGAGGGCCAGTACTGGTGAGAACCATTCATGGACCACTTGTGAATCCCACAGACCTATGGTACAGGAACTACAAGGTTTGATTCAATCATGAGTCCCCAGGACTGGACATACATAAATAGGCTGTTCCAGTCTAGACCCTCTACACTAGTATAGTATATACTAGTACATGATGTTACACATAAGATCATCAAGAATTTCCTAGCTATTCTTAATGACATCACCTTCTAACAGAATCAGAACAGAACTCATAACTTACAGAACAGAACTCATAAGTTACTACCACATTGATGAGGATGAGTTCTGTTATGAAGCCCCTCAGTACTAGAATCTGTACTAAGATCTATGGTGAACCAAAACTGTGGAAACTAGTTCCTGATAGACTACAACACAAGAGATCATGTTGGAGGAGATCTACATATCTACATCATCCAGTTCAAAATAGTTTTAATTTTAACACTATTGTTCTAATTCATCAGTACATGTTATTTTGTGCAAGTATTGTATTGTACTATAGCAGAGTTGGCTACCAAATGTCCACACCAGTCTTACATTTTGGGCCCATATTTTGCGTGCAATGACTACTTTGACTAAAAAATGAAATATGTAGTAGTACAAAATGCAGGTGCTCAGTACTTCTTGAATTTTTGAATCCCACCAGTCATGTCACCAAATAGTTTCAGTTTGGCCACCACCAAATAGTTTCGCTTGCATGTGCATGCTGTAGCCATAGTAGAAGTAAATTTTAATCATATGAGGAGTCATTATACAATTAAAAGACACAAATAACATGTAGGTCATTAAGTGACAGTCAACTCACTCAAACAGCTATAACTTTCTTGTCCTAATTGGACACTGAACAATGATAAGCATATGAATCAAATCCCTGTAAAATAATGTTTCTAGTCATATGGGGGTTATAGGGGTCAACTAGTATTGAAAGATATAGAGCACTGTATCTCTGAAGTAAAAAATGTATGAATGGCTCAGCTGGTGGAAACAAGTAGCAGAGCCTACTAGTATGCAAGAATAGAATGTCTTTGTCTTGAAGGATACTACAGTTGACCTTGTTTTTGCTACTGGTAGTTACAGTGCTATTCCTCCAACACCACTCAGTCAATCAATCTACAGCTTCTGGATCCTTTTGCCCTTAATGTGAGGATTAGAACACTTGTCTTGTGATTTCAGTTAGTTGAGGAGTACTATAGATGAAGAACTGAAGGAGTGACAGGTCCCTAGTATGCTGAAAGTTGGTTTGTTAATGAGTTTTTTTCTGAAATTTCTCAGTGCACAGAGAAATCAAGTAGCCCAAAATGGTTCTTGTCAAAATTCACCACATGGCAATATTTGCATGTTCTTGCTTCTTGGCGGTGAAGAGAAAAGAAAAAGAGGGGAGGAGCAGCACCAAGAAGCAACACCAGAATACTAGCCTTACCCAGCAGTTCACAGTGCTCACTACTATTACATCCCCACTAGTAAGTACTAGTAATAGAGGTTATCCTGTAGTAATCACTAATAGTAATTCTCAAGTAGTAAGCAATGAAATTGCAATTACCTCTCCAGTAGTAAGGACCACTAAGAAATATTTTGGGAGTAGGAGAAATTATGCAGAAAATATTTTTATTTTCGTGCATTGGGTGCCTTCTTTTGACTGGTTTTTAACTGTAAAAATGAGATAAATTTTTCGATTTGTATTCGTACAGTAATTGCCAATAACTTCCCATTGCATTGCCCGTACTTTGTGGCTCTAGTGGTGATACGGTATGGTATCGTGTAACAGTTTCTTTGTGTACCGGCACTTGAAGAACAAGGCGAAAGTCATTTTCTGTAGCGTATCTGATAAGGGAAAGAAACTCGTAGTCGAGCCCTATGCATTTTCTTGCGTCTGAGTTCCAGTGTTTATTATGCCGATGAATATATTCCCCCAGAAGTACGAGCCCTATGCATTTTTGTTGCGTCAGAGTTCCAGTGTTTGGTTTTAATATTTACAAATGATCAACGCACTTAAGAAATTGATTCCCATCCTTACCGCAGTACTTTTAGTTTGGAACTGTTCTGATGGCGCAGAATCAATGCTACTTCTTTCTCAGAAGACGAAGAATATAAGTAAAGTGAATTAGGAACCATGACGTCTGTTTACGTATGTAATTGGATGCCCTTCCAAGGTTAAGTTTGAAATATTGGAGACTTAAAAGTGTTATCCTTTTTATCATCCTTTTTACTAAAAAAACCCTGATCTATAATCATCCTTAGATATAGAAATCCGTGTCTCTTATGCAAAGAGATGCCAAAAACATAATATATTTAACCGCCTCGTTTTTGTGGTCGTCCTTGAAAGGTCGAATCGGATTTACGTAAGTATTCGAATCAACAGTGATGTATGGTAAAAATTGCTTTCAAAGAAAAATGTAGAAAAAACTGCAGGCTATCGGAATGGCCATATCCAATGTAAATTAGAATTAGAATTTTTGAAAAATGAATAAGGTAAATCGCGACGCTCAGAAACGGGGAAGGCACGAGGACAACATCCAAGGAGAGAACAAAAGTTATCTATCCAAATGCAAAGGTAGGGACAGCGGTAGCAGCGATGGGACACAATCGTGCTCGACAGGGGATGGATTCTTCGTGTCAGGTGTCACCCAGCGGTTGAATGAAATGAGTGGGAGGGAACGTGATAATGCTTTGTACGATTTGCATGGGATCCCAATGGACGACGAATACTACGACCAAGATTTAAACGTTCACGGAAACAAGATCGAAAGAGATCCGAAAAAACTCCAAGAACTTCTGATCGAATTTGATCAATTGTTGGAGGAGAAGTTAAAAAATTCGGTAGATAACCAAAACCAAGAAGAGTTTGGAAAAGGGATCAAGCTTGCGCGGCAACAAGATCCGGATTACGTTCGTTCCCAGCAGATCAAATTTTTGAGGGCCGATCGATACGATGCCAAGCTGTCCTCAGCACGAATGATTCGATTCTTTGATATGAAACTACAGCTTTTTTGTGCACCTGGATATAACAAAGGCGACAAGAGCTGCTGTGATAGCAACGACCACCGGGACAGCTCAAGCCTTAGCTGTCTTGGCCGCGATCTGAGACTCTCAGACTTTTCACCCGAAGACCTAGACCTGTGGAAGAAGACAGGATTTTTTCAGATGTGCGGCATGCGGGATCGAGCCAAGCGTGCAATTGTCATCTTTTTTGGAAAGGTCATTACCGAGGCACAAATTTCCGTAGAACTCGTCCTCCGAGCCTTCCTCTACATCTGCAGTTTTTGGTCGGGGGACGAATCGATCCAGAAATCAGGGTACGTGATCGTTGGATACACTACATTTCTCGATTTTCATCTTAAGGGTGGCGGAATCCCGACAACAGCGGCAAACCTTGCGACCTGGAGCGAGCGCCACAAATCCAGCGCAGCTCTCGTTCGGAAATACCTGAACAAAACAGGGCCACTCTTCTTGCAGATGATTAGGGCTGGGAGGTCCACACCATTGCGGGGTGTATCGCGACACTTCTGTTACGACCATCCAAAGCTGCAAGCACAATTCGAAGAGCTCACTGGGTACATGCCGACGTTTTCGGCTGCAAGATTTCGGTGCCACTACGCCAATATGGAGACGAAAGATAAATTGGGTTTGTTAAGCAACACTAACGGAACGGGGGGAAGCTGTGGATCGGGGACAGCGGGAGTAGCGAAGTGCAGCGACAACGGCCAAAGCAATTTGCACTCGCATGCGCATGAATATTCACAAGAGCCTACCCCATACTTCAATCAACATAAGGAACTGTTGTTTAGATTGATGACGTTTGGAATCCCTCGAGACACGATGCCGATCAACGATATCACGGGCGAAGTGAACCTGAAATTTCACGTGGCCACTGTGGAAATCATCATGGAAATCGAGCGCAATATGGAGCAAACCACAAGAAGATGCATTGGAGTGAACAAAAACAAGACCGTCAACAAAAGCAATTTAAAACAGAACTTTCCCTATCCGAAGGCCATGGTTGTCTCCACCAATGCACACCACCTGAATTATAGGGACGACGAAAGCAAACGATGGGAACAAAAGGACAAGCTCCGAATCAGAATGACACGGAATGCCGAAGATGTATTTCCCAACTCGAACTGGTTGGAGATTCCTCACGACAGCGACATTCATGACGACGAGTTCGACCCTTCTCTGTCTGGCAACAACGTTGGTACTGTGATGTTTAACAGCGGTAGTCCCGGAAGACAGTGGCGGAAAGGCGGAAATCGAAAGAGAGACGATGACGAGTATCTTGACACTCTAACCACCTCGGATCCATCCCCAAACGATGTGGTAATGGGCCGGGGACCCTGGAATCGCAAGCACCCTGGAAACCTTCTACTAAAAGACATGCTGCAACTGAACCACAAGGACTATGAAGGAGCCGATCGGTACAACCGAATGCATATCGTCAATGGCATGCTGGATAAATTGATCGAGGAGCACGGGACACGATTCTTGTACAGGGAGCAAACCAATTCTTGTACGGAGAATAGCGCGAACGCTCCGTGGCGGATTGCGAGACGGGAAAAGGCCCACAACAAGATCACCCACGATTTTCGAAACCAGAGACGACAAAAACAAAAGAATAGTGCAAATGCTCCGCGGTGGATTGCGAGACAGGAAAAGGCCCAAAACAATATCATCTAGGATTGACGCGATTTTCGAAACCAGAGACGACAAAAACGTCCTCGTCGTTGTTCGCAACCGTTTGACGAAGCTGTTGAAGCGGGAATTCTGCGGTCTGTGTGACGAGGGCCGCTAATAGAGAGGTTTGCCAACGGGATCAAGCCAGGTGATGCACCAGCTGTCTCAGAAGTCTAGGCAGGTCAGTGTGATTGGTAAATTACGTGTTGTTTGTAAGGTTGTTGAGTTTAAACATTAAACAAGTGAAGAACCAGTGGATCTGAACAGCTCGATAAACAGCAGGACATGTTGCTGCCGAGGAAAGGAGCAGTTGACCTTTAGATGAAGAAGACGTGAAGTTGAAGAGATCCAAATGAAGACAGAACACCACTCTAGCAGTAGTATACCAGTTGTATTAAATAGCAAAAGAAATAATTGTGTCAGAGGAGTGACTTCCGGCAGGAGGTCCGTGATTATTTGAGCTAGGTAGAGAGCTCATATTTCAAGAAATTTAAGATAGAGAACACTTTCTTCGACTCAATCCAAGCCTACCAAATTGAACCATCTCAACAGAAGCTTCGGTGATGACTGGCTTCATGCKACGAGACGCGATACGGCAAATGACGGCAATCTTTGAAAAAGCTGAGGGACATCTTGGACCATCGAACGACTGACATAAAATCTACGAAGATGATTGTTGCCACCCCTTTCAACGAACCCGTACTACATAACTCGTTCTAAAATTTAGGATTAGGATTGCGCGAAAACTTCTCTTAACTTGTCAAACGTGTCGCCTTTGCTATGTGCAGTACAGTGGGGGTACATACGTACCTACTCGTACTAGTATTATTTTTTATTTTTGCAACTTCTTTAGTCGGTCTATTTCGAAACTTTAGACTCGACTGACTCGACCCATTTTATGAATTTTGAGCCGATCTGAACGTACATCCGGCGTCTGACATTCAGTCCTAATGCTCAAGGCACTCGTACGTATTTTTACCTTTTCTTCGAGATCAAAATTTTGTTTGGGGCACACGATGGCCATCCAATATTCAATCAATATTCAATCAAAATCGAGAATCGTCAATCAATCAATCACTTCAATAATCATGCGCTTGTAAGTACGTACTGTACCGGACATGCATATGGTTGGCAGTTGGCATCCAGTCCGTTCTTAGATTTCTTCTAGATTCGAGATCATCGCCTTTGCTTTGTTCACCATCAATTTCTTCCCATGACTATAATCGTCCCTCCATTCACCATTTTTCGTGCATACCTTTTGGTCTCATTTTCCGAAGATACTAACGGAACAAAACGTAAAATGGATTTCCCGGTTTCTTCTGATTCCAGTTGAGGCGGCACCAACCATTTGCCCAGAGCGTTTGGGAACGTCTGCTCTGCGCCAGGTTTCACGCACCGCACCATTCTGTTCGGATTCGATCTTTCGCGGCCCGTCGTCGAAACAAAAAGTCGTCAATCCGATTCGATTCGATTCGATTCAGTCCGATCCAAGGATTTGATTTGATGTCACTGTGTGCTCTTACTATACCTCTTGCCCCACGTTGCCATTTGTGCAATCTGCGAGTGGGTGTGGTGTTTGGATTTATTTTGTCGACTACGAAAGACGACGCCCACCATTCTTTTGGACTATGCAATTCGCGGATACCAAGACGGATAGCTCCCAGAGAGGTACGTGCAGACGCAAGCAGTTTCGAAACCAGATTAGCCGGGAAGAAAGAGGAACTGGAGGTGGTGCGGTTGGGCGAAACAACACGGCACGATATGAAACGGCACGAAAGAAAGAGGGTGACGATTTTGGAGAAGGCGTCTGTCCATGGCATTTGCATGCCCGGGCAGAGTAGAAAACGAGAGAGACACCCGAAGTGGTGGACGGAGTCAAATTCCACTCTTTGGGCCACACCATTGTCTTTGACGCAGCGCCTTTTGATATCCGACTCTTTTTTTCGCGTGTGACTGTCTACGCCACAACGTACCCGTACCGCATTCGTTCCCGTCTTCGGCTGCCGTGAAAAAGTCTGTTCCAATCGACCACAATGACTCACAACAGTTCTGCCGTTCTCGCAATTTTTCAATGATTTAGATTAGACACCCTTGCACAACCCTGGCGACATGGAGAGAGAAAAGGGACCAATCGTTGGCACTAGGAAAGCCGAGATCGATGTTTCAGTATTGGCTCTTCACTGTGCGAGTTCCCCGGGGTGCTTGCTTTCCCGAAAAGATTTCTTAGCGTTGTATCACGGACAGATAGTATCGAAATAGCTTTTGACCCCCAAAGAGCTCTTTGTGCTTGACGAACCAAGAAACGAACCACACAGCCAGCATTGGTCACCCTTTCCTTCCTATCAGAAAGAGAGAAGGATGACCCTAGAACTATTGGTGGGGCTCCAAACACAAAGTAGCAAGAACCGCAACAATGCACTACTAGTAATAGTAGGAGTCACTACATATACATTATCTTGTTTGTCTACAACTAGCTCGATTGCACTCGTAGTACATACATTTCGTTTCGTGCTTATTGAGACATTTATGGTGTGTGGTTCCCATGATCGTCGACATCAAATTTCGTTCCCAATTCTCACCCCTTCCTATTGTTGATCTACAGTAGCTCTATGACGTCACTTCCCTTCCCAGTCGCAGAGCCGGTGCCTAAAGAATTTTCAGTACATGTGTTGAATTCTTTTTTGCACTCATTGCTTTCGACAAGGACAATGGTCTTGTTGGGGGTTTTGTGTTCTTCATTGTCGCCGAAGATAGACGTCAACTTGCGTTTGCTTCTGCTCTTGGTACTCTCTAAGTGCTGTTGCTGCTGAATTTTCATCATTTCCTGCTCCTGGGATTGGATCGAACCGATGAACTTGTCAGTCGTTCGGAGGTAGGACTGGAGCCTAGAGTTCTTGGTCGCTAGAAGGAGCTTGTGTTCCTTCAGTAGACTGATTTCCGCATCCTTCGCGCTCGTGTAGTCCATTGCGATGGACCTGGTACTAATCATCTTTTGCACCAGCTGCTGATTCATTTTTTCCTTTTCACGGAGCTCTATCTCTAGTTTGCTGTTGACCTCGACGAGTCTTGCCGCTTGGCCCTCGAGTTCGTCAACCGTATGCTGGAGGCGGAGGATTCGCTCCCACAGGATGGAGTTCTGACTCTTGAGGGTTTCCACTAAGACCGACGCGTCTTCTGATTGCTGTGGTTCTTGTGACCGTTGCTGTTGTTGTTGCTGCTGCTGTTGCTGTTGCTGTTGCCGGCCTCGGTGGAGTGTCAACGGTTGCATGTGGATATGGTTGCTGAAGCTAGTTTTGCTGCTTGTGGTATTCTTGCTGCCATTGCTACCGTTGCTGCTCAGGGACGAAAGATTCACGGCCAGATCTGATTGAAGGCGTTCTTCCATGAAGAAAGGTTGATGGTGCATTCTCTCCTGCGGACGTCCATGCAGGATATGGCTGTCTTGGCTTGACTGTTCCCGTTGCGTAGCGTTGACATTCTGAGTATGGGAATGGCAGTCGTTGCTGCAGTTGCTCTTGTTCCTCGGTATGCCACGAGGGTTATTCATTGAGGACCACGAATGATGAGGAGCGCCAATGGCGTTGTGACCATCGCTAATGGTTCTGACCTTTCTCAAGAATTCGGTCACGATGTGTCTATCCATCTTTAGTACTTGTTCTCTGAAGTCGAACGAAAGCTACCAAAAACTGTTTCGATTGAATACAAGGGTTATTTTGTGGAATGGTGATAAACGATTGCGATGATTTTCGGGTTTCGGATCGCAGAGTTCGTTCGTGAAAGCTGCGACGACAACGATATTACTAATAGCAATGGGAGTCCTCAAAGAGAAATCCGAAACAAACATATTTTGCAAGTCTCTTGTCCCACGGTACAATGATTTTACGGTGTTTGATGGGACCCCGTAATGAAAATTAAGAACGATAAGTAGAAATACACAAAAATACACATCACGTCCCATAATTTCCATAAATTCAGTGGGACAAAATAACGCAAACTCGTCACAATGATGTAAAAGTTTCCTCTTGGCAAGTCCTCGCGAGTTTTCTCCGGTGGATAGAACACGATTGCTGAGTTTTAATACTCTTGACGAACGCCATGACAATGTTCACGTTTATTTTACTTCGATTTCAATTGGACATCCTTGCCAGCTCGAAAAATAATTGTCTTGACGTTTTGAATGGAGTATCAGGATTATAGAAATGCAGGGATCCCAAAATATCAAAAATGAATATTAGAAGAATCAATATTGAAATTGCGACCATGAAACCATGAACACTAAGTAAAATGTTGCTTCGATTGGCACGTTCCATTACTGTAACTAAATGGATAAACATCATGTAATTTTATTGTTGAAAACAAAATGCTTTGATACATTATTCTACCGGTAGGTCTTACTGAAGTAGTAGTATTCTTTGTTACAAAGTACGATTTTCTACGTAGGAAAACGAAATTGAAGAATTGGACATAATATTGCTTCTCCGCGCGATACTAGTGAACTTTGTTCTTTTTCGTCGCGCTATTCAGAACGTTCTTCTACCAAAAAAAACATTCCTTTATGTAAAATATTCCTCTTTCATTTTCAGTATCGACTCAAGAGCTATTGATCTTTCCAAAGAAAATACTACGGTACGTATTTCATTAAAAAAGAAATATCCCGATATTAAGCTTATCGTCTTCAGAAATGTCACATGTTGCTATTTTTTCTTCGATGGGGAAGCTAGTAGTATTTAGCGCAACCTCGTGAACGATTATGACGCATACTTTTTTATTTATGGAGGATTATCGAAATAGAAGTAGTAGTGGTTTGCACCTGTTGGATATTAATACCATACCACTATGACTTTGTTTGCCGTGCAACCTGTGATGCTGTAAGAACTGCAACTCATCTGCACGTCCGTTGCAAAAAATAATTGCCCAACACATTAGCAAAAAAAGTGTTTTAAAGTAACAATGGTTGTCAAGTGCAATGTATAGTACAATTAGTAGTACTAGTATTAATCATAGTATGGCTTCTTGTTGTTGTGATCCATTGAAGAATGACTCTCCTGTCTTCACTGTTTTTGTTTTCTTTTGGGGTTTGTTGCGAACGTCATTCGCAAATTTACCACTCCAATACCCGGTGGTTGATACATGCATGACAAGCCAGGTTACTATCTCGCTTCTCTCATCTGTTGTGGTCTTCAAAGCAATCGTATTTTCATCATATTCCCCTCTCTTCTACTGTATAAACAATGACTCGTACGACCAAAAAATGGTTGGCCGTTGCAGTAGTGCTACAGTACCGTAGTAGTCGAACTAGAGTAAAATATGTCCAATTACATACCGAAAGGTACGTACCGGGCACGTGGTTTTCAAGACAACGGTACCGTAGGTATTAGTCGTAACAACATAATTTAATAGTTTTCATTAACGTATAAAATATTAAGCAAGCAGGGGGACCTAGCCACGGCAAAAAGTTCTCCCTGTTTTTTTCCTGTTGCTAGAAAGCATGCCACAATTTCGTGGACAGGATTTTTTTGTTCGTTCGTCCACGAATCAGTCGACCAACCCCAACCCAATGCCAATCTACCAATCAATGGTCGAAACGAACAAAAGCCACTCAACTGAGTGAAGAAAAAGTGTTAGCACCACAAATCACACTCCGAGGTATTCTTTTCCTTTTTCTTCTTCGAAATTTTGGAAGAAAATCATTGAAAACACCCCTATCACCACTCCGTTCCTACGATAGTCGCTGTGCAGTTTGCAGTGCAAACAACAGCAATGCAACTCGAAATGGTAACGACAAGTCGGTTGATCGATGGACCTTCGACTAATAGCGGGAGATCGGTTACTCTGGCAAATTCGCATCCATTTTCGCAGTCACAGCCACCTTCGCTCCGTCGATTGTACGAGTCAATGGTCCGCGAGAGCAGCAGCACGGATTACAACGAGCTCTACGAGGAACGAACCACCCTGCAAAGGGAGTGGACCCAATTTTTGGAATCCGTGGATGTAGGTGACCACAACCTCCTCGACCCCATTGCACCGCAGACGTCCAGCAGAGACCGCAACGGCAGGAACGAATGGCCGCCTTCCCCGGAAACACCAACGGCGGGACTGAGTGCATCTTCGTGCACACTCGAAGAAGCTACACAAATATCTTTGATGACCGTTGTCACTACCACTACAGCGGAGGATGCCCATCTTGTTTGTTCAGACGAAAGCTCGGGCCATTGCAGCGCTTGCCAAGCTCGGAGCCAAACCAAAACCGACCCGCGATGCGCGGCAGCAGGTACACAATTGGACTTGGAACCAGAGGACACCGAGGAAGCAATGGTAACCTTTCGATGCTTGAATGAGCAAGTTGATCAATTGCGTGGGATCCTGGAGTCATCGTTGCCGATGGCGGCAGGCTTCTCCCGAACAACAACAACAACAACAAATTAACACCGTCGACAACCGATCGTTCTAGTAACACGAAGAGATTCAGTGTTGAAACTGCGAGCTTTGGATCTTTTCACGGCTCTTTGATGGTTGGTGGTCCTGCCTGTGACGACGCAACAACGTTCGGACGTTCAAATGCCTCTCGGTGATACCGTTCGGCGTTGCCTATACACGAGCGACGACGATCCGTCGCCTTTCGAAAAGATTATTGTGTTCGCCCTGGATTAAGTCGAAGCGGAGTCAGTCGGGTGCTTTCTTTCTCCAGAGCACAACATACTCAATTTGAACAGCGGAAGAGGGCCTGGTGGCGCAACCAATGCTGCTGCCCCCATGTACTACAGCTGGCCGAAACACCAAAATTGTATGATAGTCTGCAATTATTATTACCAGAATATATGTAGCTATCTAGAATTGAGTACGCAACGCGCTGTACGATGCAGCGTGTTGGTCTCAATGATTCGGTCTTTATTGCGTTGCAAAACGTGTTGTCAAACCTGCTTTCCATTAGTTTTTGATTTGCTGTGCGGATCATGAGTTGCAATGTACAATTTATTGTTCTTACTTTGCACCGCAATGCAATCTTTGCTGGTCACTTTCCGAACACTGTTTTTCACTACATAGCTTCGCATTCGGTTTTCACCCATACGCTAGAAAATGATAAGAAAATTTATTGATGCAGATTAATCAAGGGAGAAGAACCGAAACCTATTGGCTACCCAGGTGAAGAGAAATGTGTAGACTGAATCAGAAAGTTACTGATAACAGATGTCATTTTGACTACAGAATACGTGGTAGAATACTACACACGTATCGTAGTCTATTATCTATCAATCGCATGCAAATTTTCGTATAGCAGAGCGTTCGTTACCAAGAATGCGCCAGTGGCTCCAACTATTAATAAACAACTTACAAAGAATCAGATCCATTTTTGGTGACCATCGGTTCGAATGCTTTGTTTTTCGTGGGGTTTTAATAGAAACTGTAAACGATCGGCTCAGCTTGGCTCGGCTCGGCTCGGCTCGGAAGGAATCATTGTCGATCTCGATTCGAAAGGATACTAAGAGTGGAACAACGAAGGTCGTTACAAATAGTAACTCCGCAATTCGTTGTCGCTGCCGTTTGTAATGGAAAAGCCTTCCGTACCAAAACAACGCTGTCTCTTGGTGCCGGTCGTTCCGTCCATCCCGAGAAAGGCCGACGTGCTGCTGTTGTTGTTCTGTTGCTGATTACCGTTCCCATTCTTGCTGTTTGTTCTTGTGTCATCGTCCCTTTTGTGGCAGTGACCGCCATCTTCGTTTTCTGTATGGGGGCGTTGTCTCGGTGGTGTGCTACCATCGTCACTGCTAGCATCAGCCCCATCCTTTCGTTTCGAGGTCGTGGAAGAGGTGGATGGATCCCCCGCGGCGGTGAAGTTTGCGGATCCGACTCTCGCGGCAGCAAAGGGACTGCTGCTCAAATTGTTGTTGTTTGTGCTGCCGCTGCTGTTGCTCATCGATCTCGTTTTGCGCGCGTCCCGAAAGGCGATGCTCACTTTCTGATGGGCCTGTTCGTCCGTGACCTCCACCCACCAGCCGGAATCCTCCTTGAGAAAGCGTCCCCCGTTCAAATCCTTCACCATGGACACCACCGAATGAGCGATTTTGGTCTTGTTCCGCTTGAATTTTTCGTTCGTGTGTTCCTCGAGCTTGGCATTGATAGTGCTCCGCAAGAAAACGTTCCCCGGGTGTTTCATGATCGGCCAACCCCGTCCAAACAAAACATCGTGGATGCTGGGGCACTCGATCTTGTGGAACTCCTTCTTTTCTCTGAGCGCCACTTCCCGCTGAAGCAGCAGCTCGAGCCACTTTAGATGCTGCTTGTTCTTAATGGCTCCCGTGGTGGTATTCACGGGGATTTGCTCCGGGAGTATTCCAAAGGATTGGAGCGCGTAGAGGCATTCGACTGTGGACCCCAGGTGGACCCGGAGGTAGCGCCGAGGATTGACTCCGATCGACATCACAAACATGGCTTTGATAAGACGGAGGATGTTGGCATTGAAGGTTGCTGAGGAAGCGGACGATGGCGACGACGAGTGGATTTCGTTGGGCAAACACATGTGGATGGCGCTGAACCTCAGCGGGATCGCCTGTGAGAGTTTTTTGTGGCATTTGCCTCGTTTTTGAATGTCATCGATGCTGACATTGTGAAACATTGCAATCCCAACGGCCCCTTTCTTTTGTGTTTCGACGTCATTGGCGACGTGCATCATGACGTATACAGACATCCGAAGCTGTTTGGTGGGATCGCCAGCAACAACAGAACCAAGCAAAAAACGGGCGCGGGGGCAAAACGCATGGTTGTACGAAAAGGGGAAAAAAGAGGAAAAAAAAAACACGGTCGACAAGACGCAACTGTCAGTCAGAAAACGAGGGATTTGAAACGCAAATGACATGCATTGGTATTGAATTCGAAACTCTGCCGCGCTTCGTTGCATTCCGCTCACACTCGGTTCAACTCGATTCGATTCGATTCGGTTCGATTCTGCTCCGTTCCGGTCTGTCTCTACTCACCCGGTTGAGCACCGTCAGCCCCGCGGAGGAGTTGTCGGCAAAGTTCCCCATGATGCGGCGGCCGGCCCGGTCCCTTCCGGGGAGAACCTGCATGTTCCCCGACCGGAATGCCCTGAGCTCGGAGTCGTCGAAGCAGGCCTGCGTCGTCCAGATCTTGGTCGTCAGTGCAATGTCCCCCCACAGCTCATAGACTAGGTCGAGAAAGGAAACAAACCGAAGGGCTGCCCTGTGGGCGTCCCAGAGGGCGATGCGGAGAAAGACGATCCGAAAGGAAGGGTCGTTGGTGTAATGCATGCCGCCGGCTGGGCCGTTCCTCGTGTTCTTGCTGCAGGTGTTGTGGTTGTATTGGTTCTGGTTGTCGGAGGGAGGATAGTGTTGCTGTTGCTGTTGCTGTTGTTGCTGTTGCTGCTGCAGCACCAGGCTCCGCTGGTACGCCGCCTTGCGAAACATGGGCACGTTGTGTACAATCTCGAATTCGAGTTCCTCGAGGGATCTCGCAATCTGTTCGGGAGTCTCCCTGACGTTGTACCGGGTGTAGACTCCGTGGATCTCCTCGTTGATGTTGTTGCGCTCGTCGAAACTCAGCTGGTTCAATTCCTTCGCCATGAACATGTCGATGGAATGGTGTTGCTCCTGTGGCTGCATGGACTGGATCTGGTTGTGGTGGAGGGGGTGGGGTGGTGGTTTCTGTTGTTGCTGCTGCTGCTGCTGCTGTTGATGGGAAAGACGCAGGGGGAGCCCTTGCTGCGACGGACCAAAGACGGAGGAGTCGCTGCTCGTGATCGGTACATGGATGTTGCCGCTTTTCGGCTGTGCATTGGAAGATGCCGTTCCCGGTTGTTGTGAATACCGCACCAGGTTTTGTTGCTGCTGCGAGTCGTTGGAGGGGAACGAGAGGCGGCTGCTGCCATTTGAATTCGAATTCGAATTGGAGCTTGTGTGTTGCTGCTGCTGCTGCTGCTGCTGCTGCTGTTGCTGTTGCTGTTGCTGTTGCTGTTGCTGTTGCTGTTGCTGCTGCTGCTGCTGCTGCTGCTGCTGCTGCTGCTGCTGCTGTTGGTGAAGATGATATGGATGGGGCAGTGGAAAGCTTTGGATAGCGCGGATATTCGCGTGGTGGTTGCTGTTGCCGTGGTTGTTTCGCCCAAAGAAGCTCATAAAGTTGCTAAGCTGTCCCTGGGTATCCAGCGAGTAGCTGTGGAAGGTCTCCGAGACAGCGGCCGCCGCGTTCCCGTTGAGATGACTGTTGTTGGCGCCGTGGCTCTGGGTGTTGGTGTAAACAAAATTCGAATCGGGGTTCGAATAGTTGTTGCCGCTGCTGTTTTGGTTCCCATTGTTCACGGCATACATCTGCTGTTGCTGTTGGTAAAAGGCATCGAGGATCAGGTTCCGGTTGTTGTTGTTGTTGTCGTTGTCGTCGTTTTTGGAGTTGGAACTGGAATTGCAGTTGTTTTGGATTCGATTGTTGCTGCTGCCGCTGCCGTTGCTGTTGCAGAGGTCGTCCCCGCAATCCTTGCCCGCAGATGTGGACGCCGAGACGGAACCCGAGACGGAACCCGAGACGGAACCCGAGACGGAACCCGAGACGGAACCCGAGGCGGAACCCGAGACGGAACCCGAGGCGTTCGCATTAGCGTTCATGTTGTGCCCCCCGCCGCCCCGTGCTGCGAGGATGCGTGAACAGTTTTGTATGCTGCGATGGGTTGAACCGGGATTGGGAGTGGATTCCTATCTCTCTGATTTTGTTTTGTTTTGTTTTGTTTTACGCCGTTCCGTTCCGTGGCGTGCTATTCGGTGCCCTAACACTTCCTGCCTGCCTGCCTGCCGGCTTCTTCAGTTTGATATTGATACCTTGTCCGCAGTTCGCAGTCAGCAGCTGGCAGTCATTACCGCGATATCAAACTCCGGTTGGTATCGAAAAGGTGACAGGAAATTGGAACAATGAGGACCACGGACAAAAAACAGGTACAACGGGACAAATGCAAATCTGGGTTATGGCGCTTCGTGGCTACAATTCTCAATCTTGCGTGCTGTAGAAAACGGATATGTCTAAAACACGTAACATATGGTAGGATAAAACTTCTAGGTGAAATAACGGAGGAGCACTTGATGATGATTCTGAAGATTCATTGGTACTGGGTACTGCTACAGTTACTGTAAGCTTCGTATGCTTGGGGATTAAAATTAAGAAATAGAAGTACAGAAGAACATGAGGAATGAAGACAGAGGTGCGATACCGAACGGGACTCAACGTGTCTTGGATTATGGGCAATACTCGCCCAAGCACAGTCGACACTTTCTTGGAAGCGCTCCGGTCCAATCTTCCATGCACATGCAACCCACGAGTGCACATACAATACTTTATTCTCCGCGACTCTTAAGCTCGGATGGGATCATAACCTAATACATAAAAATAATTCAGCAATAATCTAACGCCCACTCAGTCATACTGTACTGTACTTCCTAGCAGTAACATGGTACTTAACGCAATTCCAAAGCACTTCCGTCCCACCACGTTGCGGCGTTGTTGCCGCCATGCAGGAATCATCGGTGTCCGGCAATTCCGGCATGGCGGCAACATTTAATGACTGGACAACCCGCGTGTCCTGTGTCGTACGTCGTACGGTAGGTATGATATCCACCTCACATACATACATACATACATACATACATACATACATACATACATACATACATACATACATACATACATACATACATACATACATACATACATACA